AGCGGTGTGGGCCGTGAGTGCGGCCCCCCTTTAGGTGCTGTTGGTTCCCCCAGGGTGGTGGTCCAGGATTGGTTCCTCCAGCGTGGTGGTCCGGGATTACGGCCCCCCTTTAGGTGCTGTTGGTTCCCCCAGGGTGGTGGTCCAGGATTGGTTCCCCCAGCGTGGTGGTCCAGGATTGGTGCCTCCAGCGTGGTGGTCCGGGATTGCGGCCCCCCTTTAGGTGCTGTTGGTCTGGTCCTGATTGAAGAGAGCTGAAGCCAAGTGAAGACGAGAGCCGAGTGACTCCAGGTTGCTGATGACACATTGGTGGTATCTCTCTCCTGATTGGAGGGTGCTGCACCTCCTCAGAGAGAACCTCTGCACCAGGGCCGGCTCCAGGGCCCGGAAGACGTGGAGCTCAGAGTGCATCAGGAACAGTTCTAGAAGCTCGATGCCGGCACCGTCCTCCTCCTCCTGGACTTCCGCGGCCATTCTGTTCCGGGCCGCCATGAAGTCGGAGTTATAGAAGCAGAACTCGGAGGAGGAGAGCCGGTCAAAGTGTCCGTCGCGGAGGAAGTCAGAAGATGGCGGCGGGGGGGAGGAGCTATGCCGGGACACGTCCGGGTTGTATTCCTGATAATGAACCGGAGAAAAGACCTGCCAGGCACTGATGGCGTTCATCCGGCAGCGGTTCAGCGCCTCGCCGGTCACCTCACTCCAAACACTCAGCACCAGGAAGAGCGTGTCCATGGGATGCTTCTTGGAGACGACGTCCATGAGGCCAACCTGAGAGGCCATCTCCGTACGGACGCCGGTCACCTCCAGCCGCAGGAAGGAGTAGCGGCTCTCCAGTTCAGACACCATGCCGCGCACCCCCTCAAACACATCCTGAACCTGCCCCGAGGAGGTGACATCATACACCAGCAGCACCGTCAGGGCCACGTTCTCCTGAGGGTCCAGGAGGTTGGTGGCAAAGGCATCAAGAAAAGCCGAGATGTGTCCGGCATCCGCCGGCATCAATGGCACCACAACCTGCACCGGCGTGGCCTCGGTGACGTACGGCATGGGGAGGATTTCCACCAGGCCCAGAGGACGGAGCAGGCTGAGACGTTTGAGGATGACCCCGGCATGACCCTTCCTCGTGGTGGCTTCAAGGAGAAGGTCCAGCGTGTACTCCATGCCCCTGGTGGGATCGAAGCGCCTGTAGCCGTTCAGCAGGTGGAGCTTTCTGAAGTGAAGCCAAGGATGATAACGATGGTTGAGCTGCTCGAGAGCTTCCTCCAGAACCTGCTGCACATCCAACAACCAAACTCCCCGCAGAGGACACTTGGGGGCCCCATCCTGGCAGGAGAACGTGTGGCTCTCGGTGAAGTATTCCCAAGTCAACAAGTCAAAGTGGGACTTCGGCCTGAATGGAGGGTTGATGCCGATTGGCCACAGGAGGCTGACTTCTCCATCCGGGGTCAGAGAGGAAAGGTTCCGGACCTCACCCTGAGACAGGAAGGGGAGAGAATTAAAGACCTGAGGGGGAGGGGCAAGACGGGATGGGGAGGGTCAAGACATGAGGTGGAGGGGCAAGA